CTTGGTTTGCACCGAAGACTGACCTCTCATGAATGGCATTTGGTTCTATATGGCACATGTATGTTTTGGCTTAAAAAGATCTTAAATATTTATCTTGGTTTATTGTTGGTTTATTGTTCCTCCAACCTGGGAAATGGGTTTGAGAGGCCTCGTACATTTCGATATGCGCTGGCTGATTCTTTCTATAAATTAGGCCTGTTTTCTTTAACTGGGCGCTTTCTGTTCCTCTGGGGATAAGAATCCCCAGTATTTATAACCAGCATGTTGACAATTCTCTCAATGTGTACGAAAGGTCTGTAAGCTTGGGTTTAAATTTAGTGGATGATGAAAAACAGCATGATTAGCTCCTTTTCTACCCACGACGCAGTTTTTTTAAAAACAGGAGAAAAACTCAGAACAGTGCATTCATATTTTCCACTGCTAGTACCTCTGTATTTATATACTGGTAAAAATGGCATAAATAATGCAGTCATGACCACATTAAAACCACAGAAAGCCTATCAGTAAGTAAATTAAGATAACAGGAGAGCTAGTTATTTAAAAATGCTCGCCCCAGGTTGCGAACTTCGTTCTCCTTTGGTGCGTAGATCCAGTTGATCTCAGTGGGCAGAGGCCTGCGAAAATTGGCATGTCGCTTTGTGGCTGAAAGTGTGGGGTGGGGGGTGACTGACAGGCAAAAATGGGGTTTCGGAATTGCAGCTGGATAGCAATTCTGCCACCTAGTAAGAATTTGTAGATATGGTGTATGTCTTACTAATAAGTATGTTGTAAAGAGGAGGACCCCCAAACCAGATAAGGGCAGGGAGCGGAACTGTTCTAGGTTAGCTGAAATGTGGTTTGTAGCACAACCTTTTTTAACCTCCTAATAACTGGATCTAAGCTGTGAGTTGTGATTTAGAAAGTCCCAAAGGAGCCACCTTCAAGGTCACTCAAGGTTTCACTGTTTGCTCTGCTCCTCCATTTGTAATAGGTAGATAACACACACGCCCCGCTACAAGCCTTTCACAATCTGGTGCCCTCTCGTTCTCTAGCCCCCATCATCCCCAGCCAAGTGGTGGTTGGGATGATGGGGACTGTAGTCCAACATTTGGAGGATTGAGAAAGGCTGACTGAACTTGTTATCGTGTTACCCTTTTAGTGCTTCTGATATAATGTTTAGTAGAAGTGTTTATGTTTTTTGTACAAATATAAGGATTGAGGGAGAGAGGAAGAAGATTACAATTAAATCTTGCTTCCAGATTCTTGAAGGCCATCAAATGTCTCCCAGGATGCTTGGCGTTTCAAGTTTCTAGTCCTCATGAAAAATAGGAAAAAGTCTTAGTAGCCCCAGGCGAACAAAGACAGAAATTTATTTCTCTTTATTTCTCCTTAACTGTCCAGTGCACAGCATCTGGGTTTGCCCAACACACTTAACTAGGTTAAAATACTGTTTGTGGTTCCTTGTACTGCAGAGCGGCTTGTGGGCACATCATACCACTGTGCTGTGTGATCCTGGCTCACCGCTTCATGTGAAACCATAAATCGTTGTTTGCAAACCTGAACCACAACCAACAAGCCCCATTCGCGCATGATACTCCTTCCTCCCTTCAGAGTCTGCTTCTCCCATTTCTAGCAAACTTGGGCAGTGCCTGCCAATCAAAACAGAATTGAAGGGGGCCACTGAAAAAGAAAAGGCTTAAAGGTTTAAAGAATCCCCCCCACACACACACCCCAAAAAAATCAATGGTAAATTTCAGTCTCCTTTGCAGGTGGTTTTCAAGGCCAAAGCGAAATATCGTCCGGACCTGATCAAAGGCCTGTGAGTATCTATATTTGTCTGGTGTCTGGGCTGAACCTGTTTCCTGCCCAGAAATGTCTTTCAATGCTGCAGCGTCAGGGCAAAGCAACTTTTGAACTTTACGTGGGAGATTGCCAGCAGTGTTGGGTGGGAGCAGTCCTGGATCAGAGGGGCTTCGTCGTTCTGGAGGACGATGGGGCCTTGTGGCTCCCTTTTCTCAGCGTTGAGTTGTTTTCCCCAGGTTGATGGTGCGAGGGGCGTGCCTTGGGGCCAGCGTCCTCTTCCTGGCGGTGAATGTGGCGTGCGCCGTGCTGGTGCGGGCACGCCAGGCTGAGCCCTGGGCCGTGGTCCTCGCGCGGGTTCTCATCAGCGACTCGCTCTTCGTTCTGGGAGCCGTCTCTCTTGCCCTCTGCCTGTACCTTGTGGCTCGTGGGTCTCCCTCGACGCGCATCTATCTGGAAGCCAAGGTGAGGTCCGGAAATGGCGCTCTCTATTCATTTCTGCACAATGTTTAGCCTTGTTCCTCACTTCTTTTAGCCAGGGAGTATGAAATCAGACCTCCTCGTCAACAGAAAGGCCCCTGTTTTGCTGATGGAGGGCACCTTGCGTGATAAACTGTAGTTTGTTGAACCGTGGTTTTTCAAATCAGTCATAATTAGTTATACTCAACCCACAAGGCTGGCAATCCCCAGCCGTTGCCTTTGGGACCCCCTCCAAAGGTTTTCCAGACCAACATTTTGGGCTTCCCGTGTTCTGTCCCTGCCGCTGGGGGAATCTTGTGTTTATATACAGATGTTTGTAAATTATATTTGAAATAATAGTCCTGCATTGCCAACGCTATGCAAAAAGTACATTGGATTAAATTACTGTCTCTCCGCCTTTCTGCCCCAGAGTGTGGCTGGCTAACAAACCACAGCTTGATAAGTCCCCCACGCTCATGTGTGCTGTGCAAAAGATCAACCAGGCAGACTTCGAAGTGGCTTAATGTGATGTGACAATAATTCACCCATGACTAATGCAGTGTTTCTCAACCTTGGCCACTTTAAGATGGGTGGACTTCAACTCCCATTTCCCAAGGCTGGCAGGGGAATTCTGGGAGCTGAAGTCCACCCATCTTAAAGTGGCCAAGGTTGATGGGCTAATGGGTCTGCCTCTTTCTGAAACAGGGCACCACGCTGTGCCAGACGGCAGCCATGGGGGGCACCATAGTCTTGCTCTACGCCAGCCGAGCTTGCTACAACCTTGCCGCCTTGGCGCTCTCTTCTCGCACCCGGCTTGACTCCTTCGATTACGACTGGTACAACGTTTCCGACCAGGTGAATCCACTGGAGGCTGAAGAGCTGCTGGGGGGGAACCTCCGGCCCCTCGAACCACAGCTCCCATCCTCCCCCCACTAGCAATTTCCCCCAGGCCCCGAAAAGAGAGAAAGTATTGAGCTGAACGGAACTTCTCAGGTGCTTGAGCACCAAAATCTCTGCCTTTGCCCATCTCGCCTCTGAAGGCAGGCGCAGCCCAAGCAGGATCTTCCATGCCCACGGGAAGAAACTGGGGTTTATTTGTATGTGGGGAAGGACATTTCGCAGCTCTTTTTAAGAGGGTAGCACCCTACTTCATACTGTCTAAGAAAGCTGGATCGGGGAATGCATTCGGTCTAGCTTGGAATCCGAGGTGGGTGGCACCGTTTCTTATTTTTAGCTATTTAAAGATTTGGGGGCCAAAGCCTGCATTTTACCTCCCAGCCTCTTCCCCCTTCCAGGCCGATCTAATAACAGATCTCGGGGATCAAGGTTACATCGTCTTTGGCCTCATTCTCTTTGTCTGGGAGTTACTGCCCACGACGCTGCTGGTTGGCTTTTTCCGAGTCCATAGGCCGGCTCAGGATATGGTGAGTAGGATATTCGGAGAGGACCAGGGACGTGAATAGAGGGGCTGAGCAGTAACACATCGCTTAAGAAACATCCCATTTCAGCGTTTGGTGGCTCGCGAAGAAGGAGCCTAGCAATCTCTGCTGTGTCGTTTAAAAAAAAAAAATTATGATGCTAGTCCTCAGTGGGACTTGGAAACAAAAAAGAGCCCTGGATGGTTCTGGGTAATGTTTTGGGGAGGAGTTGTTCTGTTTCACTGGATGTTCCTTCTGTAATGGGGGAAGAGGTATGGTTTGCTAGGGGCTAGGAACTTAGATCCAGTGAGTGCACCTCCTGGAACGAACCTTGTTGAAAGGAAGCACTGCTGTGCAGGAGGAGAGTTAGCCAAAGAAGCAAATTAATGGGCAGGGGAAGAGAGGTTTCATTGTCTTTTCCCTTGTTATAGAGCGCCAGTGGCGTCTTCAGTCGGCAGCTTGGTATCTCCCGTTCTTACTTCTTTGACTATCCTGGGCAGTGTGAAAACGAAGGACTGACTAGCAGGTAACCGCCCCCCCACCCCCTTTATCCTCAAGCTAGCAAACCTTCCAGTAACACAGACACTAAAAAAAAGAAAAAAGAAAAAAAAAGGATATGACACAGAAGGAAAGAGAGCGAGGAGGGAGAAGGAAAACTGCACGGCATGATTGTAACCCCTCTGCTTGTTTTCTGTTCTCCTTTTCAGCCTGACTGGACGACCCAGCAGCGGGAGCTATTACGGCTCGATCAACCGCAGCGGGGAGCAAGACTGGTTGGGGGGCCACCCTCCCACCGCCCCCCTTCTGTTCCCCCAGGCTGCCGTTTCCGGCAGCCATCACCACAGCCTTTACTCCACCCCGCAGAACTGAGAAAGATAAAAGGTGGCCTGGGGACAGGAGGAAGGCCGCCCCCCTAACCATTGCTACTGATGAAGGTTTCCTGCGTGTATAAATGGGGGGGGGCTGGCATGCGGACAGGGTATTAGAGCCACCCCCCCTCCCCGCGTCCCGTTCCCTCCCCTGAACTTTAGCCCGAGAAATTTAGCTCCGTCCTTTAGCTCTGGAGCTTGTTGGCTATTTTGCTGGAATCTCCATGCTTGAATCCTTTCCCCCCCTTGGAAAATTCCCTAGATATTTAACCGATAGTATACTGAGGACACTAGCACTTTAAACGACTGGTGGGGGGGGCGCGTTTTATCTGTGATGTTGTTGTTTAAATGAATTCTGTGAAATGGGTAGAGGGGCTCTCTCTTTTCTCCCTCTTCCCCCTGCCCTCCCCTCTCCCCACCAGCCGGTAGCTGCTGTTATTTGGAATACGCTTCCGCTCTTCTGCTAAACACTTTGCAGTTTTGGTGCTATCCCGTCGCTTGCCCCTTCCAATAAATCAGTTTTGTGTTAGCGACAGGACGCTTGGCTTTTTTCTGGGGATCCTGCCGTGCTGTGGGTGAAAATAATCCGTTGGATTAAAGCAGTGTTGTCCAAACTTGGCCACTTTAAGATGAGTGGACTTCAACTCCCAGAATTCTGCTGGCTGGGGAATTCTGGTAGTTGAAGTCCACTCATCTTAAAGTGGCCAAGTTTGGACAACACTGGATTAAAGGAAGCAAGCGGTGTGGTGCTTAAAAGAAAGGAAAAAACTTCCTATAGGGCGTGCTAACCATCCCCAGCTTTTGTCGTTTGAAATTAATTTTATTGATTGATTACTTCATTCATTACATCATCCCGCCGTTCTTTCGGAGCTCGAGGCGGCCTATGTAGTGCTTTCTCCTATTTTTCTTACAACAGCCCTGTGAGGTAGCTCAGGCTGAGAGAGAGGGACAGGCCCAAAGCCCCTCTGGGAGCTTCTGTGGTTGAGGAGGGATTTGAACCCACGTCCCTCCACTCCTAGCCCAATGCCTTAATGTCCCTGGCGCTCCTGAAATATGAGGGGTGTCTCCCTTTTTTTTTTTTTAAGTAAAGAGTAGAAACAAAATTTAACTTTCTGATAGTACAGTAATGTAATTCAAAACAAAACGCTCATTCCAGCTGGCTGTTTGGATAAGAAAGCCGGACGTTGTGATTTTTCTGACGGAAATCGAGACCACGAAGGTGGGAAAAGGAAAGGGAAGAGAATAAAAAGGGGTATAAAAATCTGACCGTCCAGCAAATTATAACACACAGTACTGTAGCGTAGGGAAACTCGGATGAAATAAAGACAGGAGGAGGGTTTATATCATTGATTTAGAAGCACACAAAATACAGTCAATGTTCACTTTTGGCCTGGTTTTGAGAATTCAGGTGAAATCAAAGGATCGGGGCGGCTATAAACTGTGTTTGGGGACGCAGGCTTTGTACAAGCCTTGGTTTCTCTGGGGTGGGGTAAGCCTGGGAATTCACGGACTGGATCTGTTGGACCGAGCATGGTTTTGGTGGCACTTCGGCCTGCCTGTTTTGAATTCAGAGCAAGGTAAATTGCTCCCTTCTGCACTTAATGCCTGTGAAGTCAGGCACCATACATGATTGATTGATTGAGTAATTGATTTTGTGTCGTCAACTCGGTGGTGACTCTTCGCAACCTCATAAATAGGTTTTCTCCAAGTGGTTCTTCAGGGGTCCCAAGGGTGCCCCCATTACTGCCCTGATGCAATACAGGATTGGCAATTACCTCGTTTATCTCAGCAAACAACCCTGCGAGGTAGGTCATTCATGTTCCAGGCTTGCCGGAAGATGATGAGATCAAGAGACCATTGTTTCGAGGCCATCTCCACATCTGTGGGTTTTTTTTTTCTCTTTAACACTGAGCCAATCTTACTCAGATGCAGCTGAATGAAATTTGATTAATCAATTAAAATGCAGACAGCTCACTTGCTGAAGTCTGGTTCTCACATTCAGAGGAAGGAAGGAGATTTTTTTTTAATTTATTTTACCGAGGTGACACAGCAGTCCGGTCCTTCCCAGCTGGTAAGCAACTCTTAGTCCCCTCTAGCATGTCATCCTTTCAGATAATAAAATCCGAGCAAAATCTCTGCAGTTAGAAAACCCGTGCATGCCAAATCTGGCCAGTGCCAAATTCGGTTACTGCCCGACTTGGCTGCAGGTTGTAAAGGACGGTTAGTGCAAGCCATGATTCAGGGCTGCGTGCGACAAAACCAGGCTGTCGGGATGTGCAATGTGGTTGCAGAGGGTAAACGGGTTTGCACCGATGGGTTAATGGATCAAACAGCAATTCAAGGTTTGAAGCTGAAACTCTCTTATCCGACCCTTGTAGGAAAGCTAGGCCCTTCGCAGAAATCTGGGGCGGTGGGAGACGGGCCACCGTGAAAAAGAGTGAAAACACACTCGATCTTCATGAATCCGTCTGTTCGCCCAAGGCAAAGAAGCAAGGTTTGTAGACAGGAGGAGGAGAGACTATGCAAAGATTTTTGCTTTTTTTAAGTGTTGAAAGGAGGGATCAAATGTCAGGAAGCTAGTCCTCATGGAGGGCAGTACATCTGGCAGGGCCGAAGAAGGACCCTGATTCAAGGAAGGCCCAAAGCTTTACCGCCTTGGGGAAAAGAATGATTTGAAAGGAAGTGGCTGGATCTGGAGGAAGGTTGTCGAGGCAAAATGTAATCGGTCCTTTGCTTTTATGAGAGATATTTTTCCCCCTCCCGTTGTGTAGTTCCTGAAGCTGCCCAGAAGAGGGGGGCCCTGGTTCAAGGGAGCCAGGATATTCCAGACCCCAACCGAGGGGCCGGGGACTGGCCTTCAGCTCTGGGAAGGTGGCTTTGATGACCCCAAATGGTAGCTTTGCGCTACCGTTCTGAGTTTACAACTGGGTGGAATATCTAGGGCAGTGTTTCTCAAGCTTGGCAGCTTTCAGAGGGGTGGACTTCAACTCAGCCAGCTGGGGAATTCTGGGAGTTGAAGTCCACCCCTCTGAAAGCTGCCAAGCTTGAGAAACACTGATCTAGGGGATCACTAGATTCCTTGGAAGTTTTGGGGGGCTTCTTTGGGGAGCCCCAAAGTTTTTTGGAGGTGTGCTTTTGCAACCAGACCAAAGCCCATCACTTGTGCTCACCCCATCCTTGTTTCTCCTGGATCAAGTGTTCGGCTGTATGTTCTTTGGGGCAGGGACTTTTTCCAGGGTAACGACTGCCACCGGTTTTACTCATGAAGGCTGGTTTCTTCTTCTGCTCCAAACGTGGCTGTTATCCTCCCTGGTTCGACTGACTCCCATCTGAACCGGATAACGCAAGCCATCTCGGTGTGGTTGGGACGGGGGTCTGGTTGGTAAGATGGGTTTTGGGGAGAATATATGGGAGGAAAAGGCGGAGGGTCTTCTGTTCCAGATTTTGCCATCTCTCGCACATCATCGGAGAATCTTTCGATGCCATTATGATTGAACAGCCAAGTCTGGCTGTTTTCGAGTTTTTGAGCTCATTACATTTGTTTTTTTTCTTTCTTTCAAGCTCCTTCCTTCCTCCCTCCCTCCCTCTGCTTGTCTGTCTGTCTGTCTGTCTGTGTTTCTTCCTTCCTCCCTTCCTCCCCCTCTATCTCCTTCCTTCCTTCCTTCCTTCCTTCCTTCCTTCCTTCCTTCCTTCCTTCCT